ATTATAAAGGAAGCCTAGGATAAGTGATTCAAATGTAAACACTGTAGGTAACTGAAGCTTAGCTAGAAGACATCCGTTCATGGACATTGTAATTGAGACTACTTTATCTACCATGCTGCTTGCTCTCATCACTACCACATCTTGTATTTAAATTAGTGAGCTTTGGAAGCACAAAATTATGGACTTTTCACCCAGGTAAGGGTGTCTTCAAATGCCAATTTTGTCCAGGTCTCAGTACCCCATTACTATTTTGGAATGTAAAAGAGGTATACTACTCTGCTGGGGCTTTTATTCACTTGATTGACTTTTATTCCTTCTGGCCTCCTGCTGAAAACCTCTTTCCAAAAGTAAGTCTGTATTACCAGGCAGCCTTAAGACACCAGCAAGCCCAGGGTAATTGATTGTCCCTTACAGTAATTGTCCCTTTGGTGTTGGCAGCAGCTCCACTGATGGGCAGCTGTCCCAGTGCCATCCCAGGCACAGCAGAATCCAAGAAGGATGGCAGAAAGAAAATCCTACTTCCTTCCCTTCCTTGTCTTCTGTTCTGACAGCTGGACAATGTCAATATGCCTTTCAGATTTTGTTTTTTGGCACTGGAAATGAAAGGGGGGTTTACAATTAACTAGCCATTACTTAGTTTTAAGGACATATTTGTGGCATTAAAGTAAACATTTTCTTTCGGGAAAAAAAGCCAAATTGAAAGATTTGAGCAATGATCAATACACAGGTGACACATACAGAAAATGTGACACTGGCAGAGACCCTGTGATAACACAGATCATGCTTGGCAGTAAAATGAAATTAAAGTTATATCTAGTTCAGTGCAGAAAAGAGAATGCCTTTTCAAGAGTGTCTTATTCCTGAGTGTCTAGTACACCCTTTTTCCTTTTTCTGCATGTGTCAGTCAGGGTGAAGAACGGAGATATATGTACAAGATAAGAGCAGTGAAGAGTTTTACATGCTTTGTAAGTATGTGGGAGTATTTAGGCACTAACAACAAAACTAGCAATTGATCTCATAATAGTCACAGCCTAATCTTAGATCTCAGAGCAAGCAGATACTAAGAATGAAATTTAACACTGAAAATTGTCATGGATTTTAGATTCAATGCATAGAGAATGAAAAGGCAACTGCTTATTTAAAAAAAAATATGGGCATGCAATATGCAAATCAAAATATTTAACTTGGATTTCTCCATTAGAATGGCTATATAAATTAATATAAATTAATATATACCTAATTATTTTAAATACAAAATAAAACCCAGATGTGAAACAATGTAAGCTGTTAGCAAGGAAAGAAACACAGCTTCTGTGTAAAAGGGATGATTATGTTCTGTATTTTATAGCAGAATTAACTTCTTCAGTTGTAACAGAAGAAAAAGGAAGGAAGTAGGAAAAAATAAAGACAAGAGAGAAGCAACTTAGATAAATGCCATTGCTCTGTTTTACTTCTGTATTGGCTGTCCATTTTATTTGAAGGACTAAACATTTATTTTACTAAAGTAAAAGTAATCAATGATGGCTGGTGACAGAACATGCTAATTTTCTTTTTATGACTTCCAAAATGTTTAGTACTAAGAATGTTTGTTTTGCATAATGTACACCATTTTTTGAATGCTTCAAACAACTGCAGTGACTATTTTTTTCTCCTAGCTTTAGAGCAAAAGTTAATTCTGCAGCTAGGCTCACACATCAGACACACCTGCCTATATAAACAAAGCATATCTACAAACTGAAAACTTTGTTTTGAAAAAAATATTCTGTTCATTGAAAAAGCAGCAAAAGAACCACTCAAGTGTAAAAAAGAAGTATTATTATCTCATATAAAGATAGCAAGGAGATAAAAAGTGATGCTTCAAATTATTTTTAAGAAGAAAAGAGTATGGCATACTCTATCCTACCACTCATAGAAGTGGACCTGATTGCAATTAGTTGATCTAATCAGGGATTCCTGGTCCAATTCATGTGTTGAAAATATATTAACTGGCAACACTTGACATCAGATCTGGAATTCATTTAATAGTTTGAGTATCATGTAGAATGTAACGGTTTTAAAAAATCCTGCTATTTTCAGCACATCCTCTACATGATCCTGATGGTAATCCTAGATAACCACAACAACTGTGAAATACATGGCTGCAGACAGTACCAACAGGCATAATCTGAAGAAAGAAAGTGAACACTTGAGCACTTTATGCCAGGGAGATAAAAATATCACATGAGGGGGAAACTCTGTAGCTTTTTTCCTTTATTTGACATAGTGCTTAGAGACAGAACAAGATATTTTTGGCCCTTGTATTTTACAAATGTACAAGGAAAAAGTAATAAAATATCTTCCTTATCTCATATTTTCACATTTCACTGTAAATTATCCTCTTTCTTAGAAGTAATATTAATTTGGGGTTAGACTGTGAAAAGATTTAAGCCCTGCAATGTCTAGTATTTTACAAAGCCTTTAAAGGATTTTTTGCTTTGTGGAATTCCCCCATTTCCCCTGCCTAGGCTTCTCATAAATTCCTGGAGAAAACTGGGTGCCAAGAAATAAGGTAAATAACAGGAATAGGAGTTAATGTCTAAAGATAAGATCCATTAAAGCAGGTAGCAAAGGAGACATTGAGCTTCCTAATGAGACACAGTGGAAACAGGGCTTGAACCCAGACATTTAAGCCCCAATGACAAGATAGATAACATTGCTGTACACTGCTTCCTGACATCAGGTGCTTACTCCAACATCTCTAAAAAGCATGGCTAGTAGAAAAGAAGAGAGTTTGTTTTTCTGTCCCTCTTTTTCTCATCCGTTCCTTCAAAACTTCTGCACAGTACAAAAAATATCTTGCAAGGAAATAAGTTTCCCTTACTACTTCTTGTTGAAGCTTTTTCCCTCCATAAAATGAATACATTTCTGTTGGACTAACAAACATAAACAGCTTCCTTCCACTATATACGCCCTCCTTTGAACAGTCTAGGTGTCAGTAAACAATCACTACTCTATGTTAAATGTTCAGTAGAGCACATAATCAAAGATTCTTTCCCTATCAACTAGCCTGTGAAGTTATGCTTAAATACTGAATACTGAACATATAATAATTTTTGAATGAGTGAAATAGCTAAGCCAGAAGGAACTACAGTGTTGCTTTTGCTTCACCAGGCTGCAGTACAGAAACAAATTTAGTGTTAAATAGTGTTAAAAACAACAACATAGGTAGGGGAGACAAGGATGGGATGAATTTTTACATGAGACAACCACAAAATCTGGAGAAGAGACTTTATTTGCTTATGAAGCTGGACAAAATAACATATCCTTGTGTGACTTTGTGTCAGCAAGCATGTTATCAAAGTCTACTGAACTTGGCCTCACAGTTAATGTGGAAAAAACCATTTCTGTTGTTGCTGGTAATACCTAAAGGCAGTGCCTACTCATGGAAAGCTCAGGCATTCTGTAATTATGACTGCTGAATACGAGGTTTTAAAATCTAAAGTTTAGATAACAGCATCACAGAATGGTTGAGATCGGAAGGGAGCTCTGGAAGCCATCTGGTCCAACCATTCTGCTCAAGCAGGACCATTTAGATCCATTCACTTGGCTGATTGCTCTAGTTTCCCAAAGAAGATTCAGACACCTAAAGGAGTTTGTCAGATAGAATTAGGGCCTTATCCTAGCATGTCCTTTTTCAGGCTGGTCCCACCCTAATAATTTTTTAAACATATGTCACATACTAGTCTTTTGATGACCATCTTTTTATTAGAGGATCATTCTTTTGTTACTAAAGGCTTGAAATTATTAAATATAAATGAACCATATATCCATTCCGAAATAACAAATATACAGAAATAATTTTTTACTATTTCTTCATTTTCTTTTCCAGTTCCATTTAATTTTTCTCATCCTAACAGGTGGCATACCAATTTGAAGTTATTCTATTGAAACACATTGGAATCATTGCTGAAAAGCTGTTGTGAAATTATTCATTGATAATCTGAGGCTGAAATATTGCTGTCCCCTCTGTCGCGTTTTGCATTTACATACTCTCTGCTCCAAATGCTAGGGTCAGAATTTTCAACTGATCTGACCAATGGAAGTAGCCAGTGGTTTTTTAAAAAGCAAATTACATGCAGAGAAGTTCCCAGGTGATTGACATGTCTGCAGCACCCAACCTTTTGTAAGCCTTTGAGGAGACTTAATCACAAGTGTAGTGCTGACATTGATGTTACCAGCCAACATTAAATATTCTGGATGTTTACCCTGTCTGAGACTGGAATAATACTGGCAAATCACAGCCCAGGTTTTGGTCTGGTTCCTTGGAAAAGCAGCTACTGCCTCCTTGCCTGTAGGCAGCTCTGTGGCCATAGCTTATGCCTGGCTTCTGTTCACTGACTGTGGGATGTCGCTCCAGCTGACTGGTCCTGAAAAGAAGAATCCACACCTCAGCTAGATTTCAGGGACACAGAGGCATACAGGCATTTGAAACTGAGAATGATCAATAAAAGTGATGTATGCAATGGAGGTAGTAGTAGTAATATTTTGAACAAGGGCAGTCATCATTTGGACATAAAAAGTGCATGGTGCTTGGACCATACCACAGCTGTCTTTGTTTCTCAACTATTTCCATCTATTGCAACTATTTTTGACAGCTCTGTATACCTCCTGCCCCTGGCTTGTTTCTGATCCCCATCACATGACAAGCTAATTGACAATTCAGCTAATTTCTTTATGATAAATTCAGTGTTTATTTTCTACTATTTCTTTATATTCTAGCCCTAAAAATCCTCTTGTTGTCTTCACTTTTAATATTTCTGATGAATGAATGATCCAGTTCAGTACAGGGTTTCAAAGCTGAAAACTTGTCCTTAGCTGACAGAACTAATGTATTTTATTTTGCTATATCTATTCAGCAGGACTCAGAGATTCCTATGATACTGTACTTTACTGCTTTTAAATAGACTATGGGAGATGATGAATGACTAAACCTTTGGATTTATTCTTTCTTTTCTTTGCAGGGAACAAGGAGATTGCAGAGGGTCTTGTCTCTACAGCTAATTCAACTTGCACATAACCTATAAGTATGGAAATCAAGGGGACAATAATAAACCAGATCCCTTTCAAGTGCTGGTATCTGCTGGTATTTGGGGTAGCACAGCAGTGCTATGGATGGGATGTGAATGAATGAAGTAATAAAGAGCATTTTCAGGTGTCAAACAAAGGTTTAAGGTTGGGTACTGTGCTCATGACAACACATCCAGTGTGTGTAGACTTGGCATAGTATCATAGTATCTTAGTCTTCCTTCCTTCCTTCCTTCCTTCCTTCCTTCCTTCCTTCCTTCCTTCCTTCCTTCCTTCCTTCC